GTCGTAGACTATGAATGAAAGACCTGAACACTTGTATAACTTTAAAAAAGATTTTAAAAGATTTACTGCCTTGAAAACCTGATCTAGAATTGCCATGAATGGGACTGACTTAACGGTAGTGTCGTTGGTTTCTGCTTGGTTACTTTTAAAGTTTACCTTTGTGATTTTGTAAATACTTCACCTCCTGGCCCTACTCTACCAAGGTAACTCAGCTCTGTGGGAATCTGTGCTCTCCCTTCCCTCACTGACCACACCTCTTCAGAATTTCTACCTTCACATAGATTGAATAGTCTTCTTTTAGAATCACTGAGCTTTATTTCCAAAGTGATGTTATATTTACCTGAAAATTCTATCCTAACAGAAGACTAAAGATGATTCCTGGTTTTGTCTATCTCTTTAACTAAGACCTTCCGAAGACCTTCTGAAAGCCTAGTGCGTAGGGAGTAGTGCAGCTAATCCAAAGGTGGTGCCTCCCTGGCGGTTCAGATTGTCCTGTGGCTCTGAGGGAGAAAGAGGAGAAATTTCCTCTTGTGCAGTTTGTGGCCTTAAAAACCCATTTAGGAACACTGAGTTGCTTCTGACTTAGCAGTAATAACAACGAATAGTGATTAGGGACCTTCTGGAGATTTTGCTCCTGCCGTTTAGAGGTATTCGAAAGTTACAGTGTGGGAGCTCTGGTGACAAGAAGCTGTACTGCAATCCTGAAGGTGCACGGTTCGAATCCACCAGATGCTCTACTGGAGAGGAGGGGCAATCTCCTCTTGTGCCAGCTGGATCCAATTTGATGGTACCTAACCGGGGAGGGGGGGTGGATTTATGGTCAGAACAGTAAAAGTTGATGATGAGGATAAGAGAAAAATGACCTCTTGGCAAAGCTGGGACTTTTTGCTTTCTTTTTTTTCACATGGAAGTTTTGTGTTATCCTGAAAATAGAAATGTGGCACAGCTATTCCTCCACCAAAATACAGTCATTATTTTATGTATTTTTTAATTTTTTTTTCACATGTGAACTAGGGAATGAGGTGGTTTTTTATCAGGTAGGACCTAGAGAAGGCATGCAAGCTGTCAGGGAATGGATTCATATATATTTTGATGGGCCATTCTAGTCAGTGTTTTTTGTTTTACATTAGTGGAAGAAGTAGCACAAATAGAAAAATAAAGATAAGCTTATTAATTTGGGGTACTTGTATAGGTGTGTTGACAATCTTATGAAAGAAATCTAGATGTTTAAAAAGGGTCTAAAAACCCACTAGTTTTTTTAACAAAACCTGGTGCATTTTTGTAAAGGAGGAAAGTAGACAAAAAGCCAGGGCTAGTTGCTCTAATAACCCAGGTTCATGATATATGAATCTGGACACCTGTGTCAGTGGGGGTATTTATGATAAACTGGCTCTTGGATTTAATACAAAAAGGTAGTGGTAAATCTGTGTTGATGTCACGAAGCCAGTATGGAAACTCCTGCTAGCTGTTCATGGAGGTAGGCGCTTTCACTTTTAGGAGTGAGCCTGAGGATTCATCATAAATTTCTTGTGATTGAACTCAGGTCTGGTGGCCCATTTAGTAATTTCAGACAGTAGCAGGCTTTGGGTCTGAATTAGATAATTTTACTGCCTGCTGCTTACCAGAGTGTAAATAGGCCTTGAGCATCTGGATAATTTGTATGGACATACTGAAAGGATAGTGTACTTTGGCTGATTGTGAGTTGACAACTGGAATATGCTCTTTCTCTTTTTGTGATCCCAATAGTCCTGAAACAGTCTTGTTCTTTGTCTTTTTCTTCAGATTATGATCTACCTTATTGATAAAGTTCTTCCTGAAAGCTATTTTGTCAATAATCTCCGGGCATTGTCTGTGGATATGGCTGTCTTCAGAGACCTCTTGAGAATGAAGCTTCCTGAATTATCGCAGCACTTGGATTCTCTCCAGAAAACAGCAAACAAAGAAAGTGGAGGTAGTGATCCAGTGCTATTATACCTTTGAAAATGACTTACTTCTGCGCTTCCACTGGGCATGACCTAAACCTGGAATGGAAATGCATAGTCCAAGTATTTCCATTGCTGAATGTTCAGGCAATTAAAAAATATTTCAATAAAGAGAACTGAACCACACAATACAGAACCACATGTTGATCCGCTTAACTGGTTGTCAGTAGTAAGTCAGTTTAGAGCCTGATGCCTTAACCATACCACCTCAGCAAAATGACGTATTACACTGTATATGTATAGGGGTGTGCATTTCCTGCAGATGGCTTTGTCTTACAGTGGGTCTATTATCAGAAGGGACCAGTCTTTGGAAGGGACATCATGCTGAGAAAGGTGAAGGGTCAGAGGAGGAGAGGAAGACATTCAGCAACATGGATTGACACAGTGATTGTCCCAGTGGGCTTTCATGCAGCAGAGTGTGAGGATGACGCAGGTTCAAAGTCTTCATCTCTTGCATGTAGGGTCCCTATGAGTTGGACTTGATTCGATGACACACAACAACAACAACCACCACCATTTAGTTAAGTCGTGCTAAGCTGGCATGAAATCCCTAGCAGTTCTTGAAAACTGAGCTATAGGTACCATTTAATACAAACTGTAGCTTTGCTGAAGCCATCAAGGCTGTGGGAGAATGACATTTTCATTAAATTGTAGGAGATAAAAGCATTCTTGTGAATGAAAATGTTGATTTTTTTTCATATTCTATTCATGTTATGGATGTGGAGGTTTAACTGAGATGAATCAGCCAGTTCTTGCTGTAGAAAAAGAAGGGGCAATGAAGGCAGAAATGGAGATGGTTCCACCAGCAGCTTCTAGAAGTGGCCGCATCTGCTAGGCAAGATCTACTGTCCAGGGGTCCTTGTGTTAAGAACTGAACTTTCTAGGCTGTACTGAAGCTGCTGGAAGGAGCAGTCAGAAGTTTATGATGGTTGTAATTTCCAGTGATACACATTCTTCTGTGGTTTGTCCCACATATTTAAATGTGAGAAAATATTAATGGCTTTTGAGGCCTAAACTGTGATTAAAATACAGTGGGTAGCATCCACTTCCTAAACAACATGCCTCTGGAAACTCCATGAACTTTGATAAGTGTTGATAGTTATAGAAAGGCTTCAGGCCTTTTGTTCATAGGGTTGCTATGACTTGTGCTCGACTTGACAGCAATCAACAGCAACAACAAAGTGTTTCTGTATATTTCCTTCTGGTTTAATTTCCTAATGCTGCTATAACATAAATATCAGAATGATGGCTTTAAAGAACAGAAGTTTGTTACAGAAAGATGAAAGTCCAAATTAAGGTCTCAACCATGTTGACTCTGCTTATAATTCCAAAGTTCCATGGTTTGTAAGATGATATTAACATAAGATATGTTTTTCTCATTGTGTCAGAACTGCTCTTTATAAATCTTAGAAGTGATTAGGTTAGTATTCATCCTTCACTGGTATGACTTTAACTGATGGTTTGAGTTTGCATTGAGTCATATTGTGGAAGATGATTGCATTACATTGTTATTGTCCTTGCACTGTTGTTGTTTTGGCTCTGATCCTGTGCTGTCCTCACCATTTTTGTTGCATTTAAGGCCATTGTGGGTCCATTATGTCTGTCGACCTCATTGAAGTTAGTCCTCCTTTTCACTGACCATCTACTTTAGCAAGCGAGATGGAATTACATCTACAGGGTTAGCCTTCTAGCACATATTTTGGGAGGACACAAATTAACATATAACAGCTTCTAAGCCATTTGAACAATCCTGTCATTTGGTTTATTTGTGCAATATAATTGCATACCTGTGCAGTACTTTCTGATGCTTCCAAATGTTGATCATTTATATAGTGAGACAACGTCACCCCACCCACCCTATTCCTCATACTTTGCCCCGCACTTGACTATAAGGATTACCTTCAGAGTTGGGATTATGAACAAAGATAATCACCTAGCTCATAGATGAACTAAAAGAGAATTACTGCAAAGGGGCATACTGGTTTCTTACACTTGGCAAAATGCATATAGTAACTGGTATTTGGAGAGGAAATGTCTAAATATCTACATTTTAAACAGATAAGGTGTTATTTCATTAATAGGAATCTTGTGTTATTGTAGGAAATGAGAGAAGGCCACTTTTAAATATGAATTTAGAAACTTCAAAGTAGACTATATCCCAGATCTTTAAGACTATATAATTTTAAAAGCAGACAAGTACTTGTTAAAGCATCATTTTTTATCAGTAGAATTTGAGGCAGAATGTTAAATGATCCAGGAGGTATCAAAAGAAGATGGAAGGAAAATACTGAGTCATTGTACCGAAAGGAATTGGCAGATACAGAAAAATTTAATGAAATAGCATTTGAGCCAGAGCCTATGGTGATGAAGGCAGAAGTT